TTTTGTGTCCCTGGTAAGATTTATTCCCAAGTATTTTATTTTTTTGGTAGCTGTTGAAAATGGTATTGATATCCCTGACCTTCAGACTTCTTGATTCCAGAATTCTCAGACTTTTGTTTTTCTAACTTTCTTCCACTTTCAAAACTCCTGGCCTCCGGATACCCAGACTTCTGGAACCCCAAACCCATCCCATCTATAAACTTCTGAATTTTTCAAATCCCTAACCTACAAACCCTCTGTTTCTTCACTCTCCCCACCTGAATCCTAATAGCCTGATCCCCCCTAGGCCTCAGATATACTGGGATCCCCAATACTTGGGTGCCCCACAATTCTTCCAGCATCCAGATGGTGGGATCCCCACCTCCAGCATCCCACTTCCTGCTCTTAAGAAGGTAAGTTCCAGCCACTCCTCAGAAGGAAGATCAGGTAGTCTACTTCCATGAGAGATACCACCTCAGAAACCCAAGAAGGGGTCACTATGAGTCAAATCGACTCGATGGCAGTGAATCTGGTTTTGGTTTTGGAAGAAGGTGAGTAAAAGTATATGCTTGTTGTTGAGTCATTTACCCTACAGAGTGGATCTATCAGTCCATCCTGTCTAGATAATGGCTCCATTTTTATTTTTCATTTGACTCTCATTGATTTCTTTTTCCAGGATGTACAGCTCTCTCCCCCTGCCCCTTAATAATTTCCACTGCAGTATAAATCAAATCGAATAGTTGATAAAGTCAGTAGAGGTTCCTAAATTTTCTCTTCTTTCTTTTAGGGATTGATGCAGAGTTGCAATCAGATGCACGCCTCCTACCTCTTTCAGCAAGATAAACACTACGACCTGTCCTATGACACTGGAGACAAGGCCTTACAGTGTGGACGCCATGTTGATGTCTTTAAGTTGTGGCTAATGTGGAGGGCAAAGGTGAGCACATGTAGATCGGCTAAATGTTGGCTAAAAACATCAACCGTATCTGGTGACATCTATTGTGACATGTTTTTTAAAAAAATGATATCCTAATAGAAAATTATTTACCTAAGATTAAGTTTCTTTACTCCTATATCTAAATATCTGCATCTACCATGAGTAAGAATAGAGTAAGAACAATTATATTTTTTATTCCTTTTAAGACAAATTGCTTCTAATGCTTAAGCCAAAAAACTCACTCCCATCGAGTCAATTCCAACTCATAGCAACCCCCTCTAGGTTTCTGAGGTGGTAAATCTTTACTTAAGTAGATTGACCAGTCTTCTTTCCGTGAAGTAGTTGGTGGGTTTGAACTGCCAACCTTCTAGTTAGCAGTCAAATGCCTTAGGCATTATACCACCAGAGCTCCCATTGCTAATGCTTACTCATCCAGAAAACAAATTCATTTTGCTTGGTAGACTTGGTTTTTACCAAGTGGTTGACCACTTGGGTAGGTTAATGCAAATTTGTAAAGCATATGGGTTGGGCATTCCTACTTCCGTAGTGATACAGCCACGAAAACCCAAGGAGGGGTCACTATGAGTCAGGGCCAGCTCGATGGCAAATAACAACAACATACATGGAGAACAAAAAGGAAAAATAAAAATATTGGATATGATAGACTATTTTTGAAATTTCAAGAGCTAACCTCTAGTTATAAATTACAATAAAACAAAACACTCTAGAAGTGTTTTACCTAATTACCTTCTTTGTATAGTTTCTCTTTTCACCCTCTACAAATTTAATTAGGTGATCACAACTCTTTTGGAAGGGTAAACTCTGTAACTAATGATTTGCATTACTAGCTGGGCTTAATTGTGTCTTTGCAACCAAGGAGGGGTTGCTATGAGTCGAATTGACTTGATGGCAGTGATTTTGGTTTTTCAAAGAGCATAAATATCATGTTTAAATCTAAGAAGATGGGAAAGGTATAATAATAATTTATTACCAGCTTCCTAACTTAAATGTCACAAGTCAATGACCTGTTTTCATTTCTCTTTCAAAGGAGGCAGTGGGCAGGGTCAGTTATACATGGTATAAAAGCCACCTGTAAAAAGAGTATGTGAGGGACACCTGACAAAGTAAGATGAGAATGGGACAAACTAAAGGGAAGCTGGCATGCCCTGAGGTCCTGTATGTTTGGTGGAGGGGCCACAAATTTAGCTCTAAGCTTTCTGACTAGCCCACACAACAAGGTGAGATGTTCACCCACATGAGATACAAGCTAACAACTTGGTCATCAGGAGTGAGACAAGCCCAAGACTGAGAGTCCAGAGAACAGGTCTGCATAAAGAGGCATGAACCATGGTGACAAATTCTGTGTGCTGCTGTGTATAACATTTTTCATAGTAAACTGAATTGCCAAAGAAGTTCGGAGAAGGGGACAGCTAACAAGAAAAAGAAGGGGGCTCAGGGGCTTGAGTGTGAAACAATGCAATCCGTAACTATTTTCTGGAAGGAAGAGGCAGTTTAAATGAAAAGATGGTCGGACTACATATCTTTCAGGCAATCCTCCCTAACAGTATTAACCCCAGCTGAATATTGTCTGTGTGGTGTTGAGTATCAGGTAGCTACCTAGATTGAGGAGGAGGTCCGGTAGTGCAGTGGTGAAGGCATTGGCTACTAAGCAAAAGGTAGGCAGTTTGAATCCACCAGCCACTCTGCGGGATAAAGATGAGGCAGTCTCCTTCAGGAAAGATTTACAGCCTTGCAAACCCTATGAGGCAGTTCTACTCTGTCCTATAGGGTCGTTATTAGTCGAAATCACCTCGATGGCAGTGGGTTTATCTGGCATGAGGCTAGACTGTGTTGTCTCATGAGGATGGTAAGATGGGCAGTGTGTTCATTTCCTCTTTGGAAAGCTCAGAGCCTGTCAGGGACATAGACCTGGTTCCCACCCTCCAAAGACAACACTCAATCCATTGGCAATGATTTTTTGTTTTTAAACTTTTATTCTGACTTGGGTGAAAGTTTACAGAGAAAATTGGTTTTTCATTCAACAGTTCATACACATTTTGTTTCATGACATTGATTGCAGTCCTCATAATGTAACAGCATTCTAGCTCCTCCCTGTGGTTACCATTTCCCTTTGTCCTCCTTACTATCAATTCTGCCTTCTGAACTTCTTTATGCATGGGCAAATGATTCCCTTTTCATCTTATGGTTGATTGTTCTGAGGAATTTTTACGATACCTGATGTTATTGTTCAGTGGAAAAAAAATTTAAGAATATAAAGTATTGGTGTACTCCCAAGCTGCTTTTAATTTAAAAGAGCAAGTTTTTTTTTTTTT